CAGGACAAAAATAAATAAGAAACAAGATGATCACTAAAATAACTCCTGATTCCCAGTATAAAAGACCAATATACTTATAGCTCATAGTCTATGACCCAAGGGCTATAGACCTTGGTTTAACTCATTTAAGTCTAACCAGTACAGACCCAAATACCAATATCCTGCAAATACTGACAGCAAGAATTATACAGTGGCATTTATAACAAATAAATGCAAATAAATTGATGTTCACAAAATGTTGCATAACATTTATTGAGTCGTGTCAAGGTGCTGTAGGAGCGTGCACTAGCACCGTGTCCTCTGAGAGATTAGTTATTAGTTATCAGCGTGAGGAACTTATTTCTACCTTATTTATAAACTATTTATTTACAAGTCCATCAGTTAATGTAATAATTGTCCCAACCACAGCTCCACCCCCCAACCCGGTCTCACAGCAATCGGGGCAAGCTGCACGTGTGTTTAGCGCGCCGCACGTGAACATTTAGCCATTTTTAGCGGCTCAGGAGCCCACAGGTACGGTGTGTGTTACTCACTCTGGTTAATCCAACAGGGAGTCGGCTCTGTGAGCTGTTTCTTTAGCGACTGACACATCACAACATCATTCCCTTTCCTAATGTCCTGAAGAACGGTCCGGAGCGCAGGCGGAGTGTTTAGCTAACCTGCAGGAAATGTCGACGACAGTTATCCAGAAAGTAGCTAAGGGTTACCAGAGATGTTTCTGAGGTGTTCGCTAGGTACTTTTAAGATTTAAAAAGTCAGGAAGGGGGTCTGAGAAGCTGCTAGAAATGGCGTCAAAGTCGCCAAGTTGGCAACACTGTGGGAGGAGCGCTTCATTTGCAACTCAGGGCAGCGCAAGTGGGAGGAGCAAATAATCGGCTTGTTTTGTTTTTATAATCGTTCAAAACTCAGATCGTAATCGTGATTAAAGTTCGATTAATTGGGCAGCCCTGTCTCTCGCCTTAAATGTAACTTGCTGGAACTGTAAAAACTCTGTAGCGTATATTATGTTTTTGCATCTTGCTAACTGTCCCTTGATTAGTGAAAACAGAATACACCCGTTATCTCTCAGCTTCGTGGCGAGATCTGACACCTCCAGCTCAAGTTTCATTTGTTTTGCCCGTTTCAGGTTCATAGTTTGAATTAGAAATTCACACGAACTCTTATTACAAATGCTGTTAGTTCTTCATTTCTGCTGCTGATGGACACATTTTATCGTCTGTTTTCCTTCCAGAACATTCAGAAGATGCTCGGCCTGGCACCCTCCAGAGCTGCAACTAAACAGGCCGGTGGCTTCCTGGGACCTCCTCCCCAAGCAGCCAAGTTCTCCTAACCAGTTTGAGACTGACACCGCCCACCCATGTGGAGCAAATGTCGCATCAGTTGCATCAAAACTTTATTTCTCATTTGTGTGTTTATTTAACATGAGCTGTTTTCATAGAAATTAGATATTGTCTTGTTCACGAAATTCAGTTCATGAACAAATTTGATTTTCAGCCCATTGAGGTTTTAATTATTGACCAGCAAATTTACATGTGGCCCATTTTCAGTATTACTGTACGTCTCCACTTCGATTTGAACATATTTCATATAAATAAAGTTTTATTAATTGATTTTAATATTGTTTTTGCTTAATGTTTCCTCTCACTTAAAATCAGTCCAATTATCAAAGGTGAAGCCTGAGATGTTTCTCTGGAACCCATGTTGCTAAATAGCTTGAAACGCTCCATATTCCAATAGTAAAATGTGTGAAAAAGAAAAATAATTTTAACTACCTCTTAAATGTACAATCCTGGACAAACTTCATCCAATAATTGTGCCGGTCCCCAGCTCAATGATTGGATCATAACGCATCCATCAAACCACTCCTCTGAACATCGCTCATCCCTCTCTTAAAGAGCAAGTCACCCCCAAAGAAACTTTTTTTTTTGCTAATAAACTAAATAAACGAGTGTCTAATCGTGCTGCAGACATGTGTCGTCAATAATTTGGCACTTCAGTGCATCTTAGTTAAAATTTAAATATTCTGCCTAAAACTGGCAGTGTTGTGCCGTTGTCAGGTAAAAACTCTGCACTGTATTCTAATTTGTCTGCCACCGCTACTGGCTAAGAGGTATGCTATGATGTAAACTGGTACATTATGATGTCACAGTGCTGTCATGAGCCTGTGTGTGTGTGTATTTTTTAGCAGCTCTGCCCTCTCGGTCTGCCAGGCAACAGCATTTGTTGGATTTTTCAAACATGAAGTGGGAGTGGAGTTAGACTCTGATAGGGGTTGACTTGCTCTTTAATGTACGAAACCTGCATTCTCGTCAGAGCAGCTGAACTGCCTAGTGTAACGTCCTCTGTTTTTGCAAATTTCATGTAAGGAACGAAGCGGAAGTCTGATTCCATTTCTGGTTCCCAATTACAAAAGGGAAATTCCAACCTATTGTTCCACTCCTTTAACAACCTCGACGCATACCCATCAAACCTGGACTCGCTAATTCCCGGGTAACGGCACAGTCTTTAAAACAAAGTTGTGATTTATGAAAACTTTTAATGCATTCAGAAATAAAATAATGTGCAATTTCAGCACAAAGCCAGTGAGAGGAGGTTCTGTCCAGAGTTAATTTTGACCAGAGAAGCTCAGCAGAGCTGCATGTCTACTGGTATGTTGCAAGCAGATGTTGCACCGTACTCTGCAGCCATCAAATTCTGTGAGTCTAGGGGGAGGAGCTTTAGGACGGGTCAGACCTTTGATTTTTTTTATTGTAGCTTGCTTGAACGGCTTTTTCCAAGGACTTGCACGACACCTTCAACAATCCTGGTAAATGGTGAGTCAGGTTAGATTTGTTTTTCAATTTAAAAGAGGTTTCCATCAAGGGGTTTTCATCGGTTTTGACAGCAGTCATTGCATCCTCAGACAGAAATCTCAGTGAGTTCAGAAACTTCTCACTGGCTCAGTATTTTCCTTTAAATTCCTGTTTTTCTGGCTTGGTTTCTTAAAAAAATATATTAACCCTTTGATGCATAATGGTCACTACAGTGGACAGGTACTCAAAATTGTCATTTATTTATTTTTGCTATAAGCACAGCTGTTGAAGACTTTATTGCATTTGAGCCCCTCCATTTGGACTTCAGTAAGCCAAGCCAAAATATTTCATGGTCAGAATGCACGCTGCCCACTGAGGTGGACATGTAATAAATTATTTGTAAATTAACAAAATGTTACAAAACATATTTGTTGAAATTTGTTTCATTTACACCTAAAGATGAATGAAAAAAATTGTTTAAAAAATCATGGTTGAAGATTTCATAATTCATGCATCAAAGGGTTAATATTACAATGTTATAGTATAAAAGTGTGTGTGTTTGCGTGAATGGGCGGGGCTGAGCAGCTCTGCCTTTGTAGTTCTGCAGCGAGCACCCTCTCTTGAAGTTAAAACTGAGCATCAGGTTGGAAGGGAGTGGAAACTATTGATCTGGAATTACCTACACCCTCTGGGGTCGGAGCTTAGACGTTTCTAGACCATTTTTCCAGGTGCTGGTGCAATCATAGAATCGCGCCTGGGCCAGAGGTCCAAAGTGAGAAAATATCCAGTGAACAGTCTTGTTGATGTCAGAGAATAGTCAGACGGGTTCTAGATTACAGAAAGACCTACCAAGGTCTACATCTCTGAACCACAACATGTTGAAGCTTGAAGCAGATGGACTCCAGCAGCAGAAGAAGACCACACCAGGTGTCTCTCCCGTCAGCTAAGAACAGGAACCTGAGGCTATACAACTCACACAGGATCACCAGAACTGGAGCAGAAGAGACTGGAAAATGTTTCCTGGTCTGATGAGTCTGGATCTCAGCTGCAACCTTCAGATGGTCGGGTCAGAATCTGGTGTCACCAACATGAAAGCATGGATCCATCCTGCCTTGTATCGATGCTTCAGGCTGCTGCTGGTGGTGTAATGGTTTGGGGGAGATGTTCTAGTCCCACTTTGGACCCCTTAGTACCACCTGAGCCTGGTTTAAACACCACAGCCCATGAGTATTCACCTCTTGATGAAAAATGCTGCTGATTTTTTTGGGAGGATGGGACATGATCCGCAAAATAGTTCCAATATGAAATGGTTTAGGTGTAACATCCTTCTGAAAAAGGAATCTAGAAAGGGTTGGGACGTAGTTTGACCTTATTTTTAAAAAGATCTGGTGGAGAATCTTACTACGGCAGGTAAAAACTATTATTTTCATTGTTTGCTGTTTATAATATAATATAATATAAGACTACATTTAACAGTCAACAAAGTTCAGCTCCTCCTAGATCTGTGATTATTATTAATGCATTTAGCTTTAAAGGGTAATATTTTAAATGAAAACTACTGATGGGGACGTTAATTGACCACGATCGTTATGTCCGCGGTGGAAATATATTAATAGGGAGCTTTTGTAAATAGGAAAAAATACATATTCAAAACACCAAATTTAGAGAAGATATGGAGTGGAGAAGCGGGGTGATGCTAAGGTGATACGTTTATGTGTTACTCTGAGTGGAAAAGGGGAGATAATTCACTCGGCGTTGAAAGTTTTATTGCAAGATTGCGACAAATGAACGTTATCCTCTCCCCAGAAAGCAGGAGGCGTGTCCTGGTGTAAAACCTACCTGTTGACATGATCAGACGTCCGGGTGCAGTAGTGCGACTTTGGTGGATGCAAGCTGCCGTAAAACACCAGAGAAGAAGACCGGACGTCCATTTTGCATCAAATCTGTCTGCAGGATCAGTAAAGGTCAGCCCCTCACCTTTTCCTCTGTGTGTGCGTGCGTGCATCTCATAAGTCTCCATCAATGTCTCAGGCTAAGTCATACTCCCAGAAATACAGAAAGGAGTGGGAGTCAAACCCAGACTACCAGGGTTGGTTGCAGCCATCTGTAGTGGATGCTAGACGGGCATTCTGTTTGTATTGTAAGGCAGATATTTATGCCAAATTAAGTGATATAAAAAAGCACATGACGACTAGAAAACATTCTCAAAAGGCAACAAAATACAACGTCTCTACCCATCAAACAGCTGCGCGTGCAGCCGCCTTGGTGAGTTCCATTACTTTACTTGAAGACGATCTGAACCACGCTTGTTAGTAAAAACATACAACTGCGTGTGACACTTGATTTTAGATGCACCCTTACACGCGTGTCGTGTAAAATAAACACGTTTCCACCGCAGCTAGTGTTGGATCTTCCAGCGGCCCGACCTCGGGGGCGTTCCAGCTGATTTTTTTTTTCCAATTTCCGAGTACAAATGGAACGCACCATCAACACTCCTCCTTCTTGAGAGCAGCGCTGGCTGTAACTGGTTTGTTCGTCTCTTCCAGTTCCAGACCACCTCCTCTTTGAAAATGGCTCAGGCGATCCTGGACGTGATGCCCGGAGCCTCGACGGGGACCGTGCAGGTGTCGGACCCGCTGAACTTCTGGGCTGGAAAACGAGTCGAACCGAGGCAGCAGAAAAATGCCGAGCCCGTGTTCGAGCCTGCAACTGGTGATTGTTTTTTTTTTACTGTGTTAACATTAGTTTGGGAAAAACTAACAAGTTCATTTAAAGCGTGTGACAGTTGAACAAGGCGTTCTGTGCGGCGTACCGAGTGAGCTGAACTCGTTCAGAAGAGAGAGCTAACATGTTACGTAATAGTGATGTGTTGGTCCCGAACGAATCGTCTCTAAGAGCCGGCTCTTTGAAATGAACGACGGGAGCTGGCTCGTCATTGGCGTAGAAACGATAAACATTTGATATATTGCTTTTTTTTCATTAGTAAATTATTTTACATATAGTTTAGCATTACTTTGGTTATTAATGTACTCTACGCAACAGAAAATCTGAGGAGCCACTTGGGAGCCGAAAGAGCCGGCTCTTTTTGGTGAGCTGAGCCAAAAGAACTGGCTCTAAAAAGAGCCGGAATTCCCATCACTATTACATAACACCTTGCATCAGGATCTGCTCAACTCTAAATTACAGACATATCGTGCAAGCGGGAGTCATTGGGGTTTACGCTAAACTTTGAATGTTTTAATGCTTTTCTATTATCCTTTTGTGTAAAGTCAATGTTGAACCAACCTCCAACAAAGCTGCGCAAAGCTCAGTTTTTACGCAGAACATTTCAGGCTTGAACACTTTTTATCAAAGGAAGTCCACTTGAATTGCTCTTTAGCTCTATTTTAAATCACAAGACAACTCCAGCGTCATCCCTGGGTGGGGTTATTTCAGCAATATGAGCAGAACATCTTGTGAATTCTTGAAAAGTGCTGGAGGGGTTTCATGGGTAACACCAGGAGAGCACAAAGCTACTGTAAACACGCTGCAGCGGTTGAGAAGTTAAGGGCTGGGCGATGTATCAAAAATGTATCAATATCAAAATTTCTGACTCTTATCGTTTTCCCCATGTCTCTACATTTGATAATTAAAAAAATGAAAAGATGTGTGTAGGTTGGCCACAGTTCATTTCACTTTAAGAAGCTGTACCACCTCCAGTCATGTGACTTAAAGTCACTCAAAATAAAAGTGATGGGAATTCCTGCTCTTTTTAGAGAGCTGGTTTTTTGGCTCAGCTCACCAAAAAGAGCCGGCTCTTTCGGCTCCCAAGTGGCTCCTCAGATTTTCTGTTGCGTAGAGTACATTTATAACCCAACATAATGCTAAACTATATGTAAAATAATTTACTAATGTAAAAATAAAAGCAATATATCAAATATTTATCATTTCTATGGATGAACACTGAACACTTTAAGAAATCTCCACTTTCTGACTGCTGGCGCTCATTTTCTCACCGTCTTCGCCGCACTCTCCTCCCTCTCGCTCGCCTTTTTCCTCCTCCTCATTCCCTCTCGTCTCTCTCCCCCCACATGTGCTCTGCTGTGTGTCTGAGTCTGATCCTCCCTCTTCCCCGCCCCCCTACTGCTCTGTGTGTGGACAGTCTGGACACACAGTTACACATGTTGACCAATCGCCTGTAGCTTTCACCAAGGCAGGGGGGGAGGGGACGGCTCCCAATGACGAGCCGGCTCCCATCGTTCACTTCAAAGAGCCGGCTCTTAGAGCCGGTTCGTTCGCGACCGACACATCACTACAAAATAATGCGCGTGAAGCCTTAGTGGACAACTTCTGTTTTTGCGCATACATGTAGTTATCGTCCACTTATCGTAATCAAGGTGACCGCCTTAATATGCCGTGATATTGATTTTAGGCCATATCACCAGAGCCCTAGTTTAAACCATGCTGAGCGTGTGTTTAAGCCCTTTAGCTGTTTTTCAGGTCGTGTCCTGTGTCAGATGGTGCCATGTGGAGCTGAAGAGGTGGATGAAGCCATTCAGAGTGCTTACTCTGCCTACCTAAAATGGCGCAAGATGGCTGGGATGGAGAGAGCTCGGATAATGCTGGAGGCTGCCCGTATTATCAGAGTGAGATGATCACACACACACACGCACACACACACACACACACACACACACACACACACACACACACACACACACACACACAAATTGGAGCTGACCGTTGCAAGAATGCAGCAAGACATTAGTTGCTCATTAACAGGAAAAACTCTTCCATCACTGTTGGCCTAGATTTTTGTAAAGGGGGCCTTTTGTGTGTGTGTCACACGGAGGACTTCGCCCTTATTCACAAGATAATTGTCAAGATCATAGACTGTAAAGTAATGGCTCCAAAACCTCTCAGCCTCTACCTCACAAAGCTACAACGGCTGGCTGAAATCTGTTAGCTTTGCTAAAAAGCTTAACCGGGGGGGGGGGGGGGGGGGGTATACAAGGGCATGATAAAACAAAAGCAGCTTTTACTTGTATTATATACATCATTGGATATTATTTAGAGTTTTTAAGGAATTATAAGGAAACTACTGAATCAGAAATGATGTCAAGTTTTGTTTGATTCTCGGAGACCAAGGCCTTGTGACCCACCACATGGTTCTGACCATTGACCCTATGTATAATGGACGGACCGGACCCCTCCACGCCGTCACTTTCTGAAGAGCTGAATTGAAGCCCAGTGGTCAGTTCCCACCACTGCCATCTTGGCCACGTCACGTACTTCGTCACTTCCGTTAAAATAAATGAATAGGCAAAGAACAGGGTATCCGCGGGTCCTTAAAAAGTACTAAATTGTCTTAAATTTGCTTTTCCAAATTTAAGGTCCTAAAAATCCTTAAAAATGTCAAATAATCCTTAAATACAGTTTCCAAAGGTCTTAAATTACCAAAGACCCAATAAACAAGATTCTTTTATTTCTGTAAAATTTTCGTGAATTTCTAGTTGGTGTTCAGCATTTTTTGTGTATGATGTTGCCGTAAGCGGAACCGTACACATTCAGCTGGTTGTGAAAGGGGGCTTTTTTTAGATGAGCACATTAGCTGGTTAAGCTAGTGGGAGCTTGCGCCATGGAGAAGTGGAAGTTTAATGGTAAATGGATGGCTAATCCCACGTTCGCGATGTGGTTAGCACCGGTTCCAGGCAATAGCTGGAAATTATAGCTTAAATTTAATTTTTAAAATAGCTTAAATTTCGTCAAAATGGCCTTAAAAATGTCTTAAAAAGTCTGAAATTTGACTCCCTTAAACCTGCAGAAACCCTGAAAGAAGTCAAGCTGAGACTGGGGCTGTGAGGGTGGGGGCAGCTGATTGACGCCTATCAGACTCTGAGGCAATGTAGCTACAAGCTAACAGTGCTAATCCAGAGCTAATCAGGAAACTACAGCTGAGTGACTCTGCTACCCTCCGCCTTCTAGGCTGTAACACTTAATGTGAGGCTAAGGCCTTATCTGGAGCAAACGGGACAAGCCACTAGCACTAGTGGCTCATCTGACATCTGTCAATCAAAAGGACACTCCCCAAATAATTCATAATTTCAAGCTTTAATTGTATCTAAATGAATGTGTATGCTGTAAACATGTTTCTTGTGTGTGGCTCGGGGGCCACAAAGAGGGGGCCTTCAGGCCGGACCTGCTTTTTGAGTACCGCTGGTTTAGACCTTTGGTGTAGTATGTGATGGTTCTGCAGGGCTGTGATGCAAAGGATGATTAATACTTGATGAATCATTGATTTTCAAACAACCCTTTTTCCATCTTTCCTATCAAAACAGGAAAAAAGGGAGAAAATTGCAAAGCTGGAAGTGATCAACAACGGGAAGTCCATCACTGAAGCTCTGGTGGATATTGATATTGCATGGCAGTGCATTGAGTACTATGCTGGTCTGGCTGGGGCGCTTGCAGGTGAGTGCACCCAGATATTTGCTTGTAAATGTGTGTTCTTGTCAAGCTGAGGTCCTTGAACATGACTTTGTGATTGCAGGTCAGCACGTCCAGCTTCCCGGTGGAGCGTTTGCCTACACCAGGAGGGAGCCCCTTGGTGTGTGTGTGGGAATCGGTGCATGGAACTACCCCTTCCAGATTGCAGCCTGGAAGTCCGCTCCTGCTCTTGCATGTGGTCAGTGCGCAGGATTTTGTAATACTTTTGTCACATTCAAAGCTCATTACGACTGTCATCAACGCAGCTATCTAAACACATTTTTGAAGAGAGTAATAAACTGGAAAAAGAAACTTCAAGGGTTCCTCACTATTCTGTCAGGTATCCATAACGATGCCTCCAGTTGCCAAAAATTTGGGAACTCTGTGGTCAATGTAGTAGCGTTTAAAAAATAAAACGCTTAGTGACTTTCTCAGTGACCAGTCTAGTTGTTTTTCCTCTACCAGGGTATCCGCGGGTCCTTAAAAAGTCTTAAATTTACTTTTCCAAATTTAAAGCCTTGAAAATCCTTAAAAATGACAAATAATCCTTAAATACAGTTTCCAAAGGTCTTAAATTACCAAAGACCCAATAAACTAGATTAGTTTATTTCTATGACTTTTTCGTGAATTTCTAGTTGGTGTTCAGCATTTTTTGTGTATGATGTTGCCGTAAGCGGAACCGTACACATTCAGTTGGTTGTGAAAGGGGGCTATTTTTAGATGAGCACATTAGCTGGTTAAGCTAGTGGGAGCTTGCGCCATGGAGAAGTGCAAGTTCAATGGTAAATGGATGGCTAATCCCACGTTCGCGACATGGTTAGGACCGATTCCAGGCAATAGCTGGAAATTATAGCTTAAATTAAATAATAATAATTAAAAAAGCTTAAATTTGGTCAAATTGGCCTTAAAAAAGGTCTTAAAAAGTCTTAAATTTGGCTCTCTCAAGCCTGCAGATACCCTGTCTACAAATGAACTACAATGCAGGTCTGTTTTTGGTAGGTAATGCCATGGTATTCAAGCCCTCTCCCTTCACGCCTGTGACTGCTGTGATCCTGGCTGAGATCTACAAAGAGGCGGGGGTGCCCGATGGGCTCTTCTGTGTGGTCCAAGGTGGAGCCGAGACTGGCACCATACTCTGCCAACATCCCAAAGTTGCCAAGGTCTCCTTTACTGGCAGCGTTCCAACAGGCAAAAAGGTAGAGACACAACTGTATGTTTCAGCAGGGCAGGAAAAAATATTCATAACAAGTCTTAAAGTTAGGTAAACACAAGAAATGACCTCATGTCAACTATTTTGTGTGACTTAAACGTTTTGAATCGGTGATGGGGTGGGGTATCTCTGGATTATTCAGTTAGTCTGAGCAGCTTTAGTTGAAACCTCTTCTGTGTTCGCCCATAAGCTGGATGGAGTTTGGCCCACTTTCGTTGGGATTGAGGCATTCATTTGTGCATGGCTCTCTCCCTCTGCAGCACTTTAATCAGGTTGAGAACTGATCTTTGGACTATTCATAAACTTGTATACATGTATATTCTTTTGTTGAGCTGATCTGTTGAAGGTTATCTGCTCTGTTGGTAGGCCATTGCCGTATTTTATGGCCTTATTATCAACAATCTATAGCTGACAGACAGATGGCTCAGTTTTGACCTTGTTCTTCTGGGGCGACGGTGGCACAGGAGTTAGGCGCTCGCCCCACAACGGGGAAAGTTGATGTAGCATCCAGGAGAGAGCAGAGCACGTCTCTGCTAGTAGAAGCTAAATGTTAGCATTAGCCGGTCCCAACAGAATTCTTTCAGGCTTGTGTTTTTGGTGGAGATGAAACATCAACGTTACAAAGCAAACTTGGTGGTAGAGTCATGTTGCTGTTATCCAATCGGAGGCGTGATGTCTGATTATCATTAAGAATGCTAATGAGAGACTTCAAATCTCACCATTTTACGTGCATTGATCCTGCTAAAGCCGGGCGTACACTGTGCGACTTTTTCACTTTTTTGAGCCGATTTTCCAGTCGTGCGAGAAGCCACGATATCGGGGCGAGTTTTGCGCCGCTCGGTCGTGTAGTGTACAGGGGGTTACGAGAGGCGATTAACACCACGTGACCAGCCGCCGATCAGCAGTCGTGAGGTCGCAGGGACTTCTGGTGTGTTTAATATTTCGCTCGTCCCTCGTGAGGATATCACACTGTTGAAGCGGCGCTGCGAGCAGCTACGATCCAAAAAAGTATCAGAACCGCTCACGGCGCATGCGCGCGCAATCCTGCATCAATGCCGGTCGCTCGCTATTTCCCTAATAACACACGCTGTTCGTTTTTGTTTCTACACGTTTTTTTTACTCACAAAGATTGTCAAGAAAGCGTGTTTGTCGTGTTCATGTCAAATTAAACTGATCACAAAACACAGATTTACTTTCTTTATTTCGTTTTCCTCATCCAACCCCATAAATCCCTGTGTGTCCTCCTGCAGCACTCCCGAAGGACAACAGGCAAGACAAAAAAGTCTGACGTGTTGAGTAAAAACTGCTATTTTTAGCACATTTTTAGGGCCGACGTGTTGCTACCAGACGTACAGTGTGAGCACATGACTCGTGAGATCTGCTCTGCGAGGAAGTCGTACAGTTTGAGCTGAAGCTGAACGCTGCGAGTGAAAAAGTCGCACGGTGTACGCCCGGCTATAGGGATCTCCTTACGCTGTCCGGGGACAGAGTCATCACCTGATCACCAGGAGGAGGTGGAATCTTCCGTGCTGTGGTACCGTTTTGCACTTGAAAGCGAGCAAAAAAGATGTTCAGCTCATTCAGCAGGGAGATGGTGATGTCACAGGTCCGTGGAGGGGGCTTGTAATCTATGATGGTCTGAATGCCCCGCCACAAGCTTACAATAAATGTATTATTTAGTCTGGCCACGCTCCACTGACGGCTCTCGGTTGTGGGGCGGGTTCTACCGTTGTCTTTCAAATGATCTCCGCATTCCATTGGACAATGAATGTGACATACTCTTGTTTCACTGTTGCATCATCCCACCCACCAGGCATATAGAGTGCCCTGATTGGCCCACAAAGCGGATAAAGCTCTGTGATTTGTTCACTAAGCAGATAGAGCACTATGATTGGCCCACCATTATGGACCAATCACAGCTCTTTATGTGTTTGAAACCTCTCTAGAGAGCTGTGATTGGCTAGCCAGAGTCCTGGTAGGAGCTGTGGAGGTTCCAATGGAGCATGCCCAGACCAAACTTTGCAAAGCAAGAATTTGGTCTAGTTCACTAGGCTAGTAAAGCCTCTGAAGACCCTTCTGGCCACACTTGTATTTGCTTACAAACCGGTTTGGTGACTTTAACGAGCGGTCTGTAAGCAGGCATTAGCATGACAGTAATGTGGTCTGAGGCACCAAGGTGGGGGAGGGGGAAAGCTTTGTAAGCTCCTCTCTGGGTGGTGTAAACACAGTCCAGTGTGTTGTTTTCTCTTGTTGGAATGGTAAATGGCCTGTATTTGATATAGCGCCTTCTAGAGTCCTAGAACCCCCCAAGGCGCTTTACAACACAATCAGTCATTCACCCATTCACACACACATTCACACACTGGTGGGGATGAGCTACGATGTAGCCACAGCTGCCCTGGTGCGCACTGACAGAGGCGAGGCTGCCGAGCACTGGCGCCACCGGTCCCTCCGACCACCACCAGCAGGCAACGTGGGTTAAGTGTCTTGCCCAAGGACACAACAACAGCGACAGACTGAGCGGGGCTCGAACCTGCAACCTTCCGATTACGGGGCGAGCACTTAACTCCTGTGCCATCGTCGCCCACAAGTCAATGTGTTGCTGTATTTTTGGGAACATGCACTTTAGGTCTGCATGGTTGAAATCCCCAGCCCCAGGTTGAGAAAGGCATCAGGGTGGGCTGTCTGCTGCTCGCTGATGCGCTGGTACAGTTCATTCAGTGCCTCACTCCTGTTGTTGTCATTGGAGGAGGGAGGGATGTACACAGCACACAGTCATATGGCTGAGTATTCCCTCGGTAGATAGAATGGCCGACACTTAATAACCATAAGCTCCGGTACAGGCGAGCAGTGTTTGCTGACCGCGACAGCATCGTGACACCAGGCGTCATTGATCTAAACACAGAGTCCACCCACGCGGGCCTTACCTCCCCTGACGATACCTCTGTCAGCACGGTAGCAGGTGAGCTGGTCGAGCTGAATGGCGCGGTCCGGGACACTGTCACTGAGCCATGCTTCCGTAAATATAAAAACACAACAGTCCTTTACATTCCTCTGAGATGAACGTTTCCGGATTTTTCCAGGCATCTTTGCCACATCATCCTTCTTTCATGAACTTTAACATCTAATACTGTCAGGGATTTTATCAATATGTTTATCAATAAACCCAATAAACCCGTTTCCTGCAGCTAGAGAGAGGGACAAGAAGCAATAAGGCAGACATACAACCAAGTGTGTGTGTGCGCGTGCGTGCGCTTCAGAACATTCAGTTAATAGGATTACAGTAATGAAATATAAAATTTCCATAACCAATACCTAAATGCGATATTTAGAGTCAAAGACAGAGCATTTGTGTAAGCTTTCAGCACCCGCCCACCCCAACCTTTACCAGGTAAAACGCTTGTGGGAACATGTTCTCAGTTACAGCCATGACCTGGCTGAGATGTCCTGAAGTTGGTGCAAAAAACTCAAAATGCATTTGAGCATATAAAGAAAAGCTGATGATGGAGCATGTAAGAACAAATAAAACATAATATATTTATATTGAATTGGTTCAAATGTTGGAAGATTTGCAGCCGTTGTATCTTAGAAAAAGTTTCCGGTTTGGATAATCTCTGTGATGGACTCCAAATTCCAGGTTGATGGGCAAGTTCCTTTCTGGTTTTTGCTTTCTTAGCATGATGTAAACAACACACCTTTATGTTCCATGCATATCCATATGTATAGAGGAATTCACACATATGGTAAATAATGACTCAATGCTTCTATGCAGACCATTTCTATTGAAGCAGTGTCTCTGGGTTTCTTTCTGCTTCACATATGGCTTCTGAATTTTTGGTTTAGTATTTGTTGAATGAATAACCCCACCCTGCCATAATGTCTGGTGACCAGATGATTAAAATAATCATTTCTGTATCCTAAAACCTGAAATATGAGAGAAATTTGACTGCAGGTTGTGTTGAGTGTGAACAAAATGCTTGTTTTCTCTCTTAGGTCATGGAAATGTCTGCCAAGGGAGTGAAGCAGGTGACTTTGGAGCTTGGAGGGAAGTCTCCCCTCATTATCTTCAAAGACTGTGATCTGGAGAACGCAGTGAGGGGAGCTCTCATGGCAAACTTCCTGACACAGGGACAGGTGCGACCTAAGGGTTATACAGGGTATCCGCGGGTCCTTAAAAAGTCTTAAAAAGTCTTAAATTTGCTTTTCCAAATTTAAGGCCTTGAAAATCCTTAAAAATGACAAATAATCCTTAAATACAGTTCCCAAAGGTCTTAAATTACCAAAGACCCAATAAACAAGATTCTTTTATTTCTATAAAATTTTCGTGAATTTTGAGTCTTCAACATTTTTTGTGTACGATGTTGGCGTAAGCGGAACCGTACACATTCAGTTGGTTGTGAAAGGGGGCTTTTTTTAGATGAGCACATTAGCTGGTTAAGCTAGTGGGAGCTTGCGCCATGGAGAAGTGCAAGTTTAATGGTAACTGGATGGCTAATCCCACGTTCGCGACGTGGTTAGCACCGGTTCCTGGCAATAGCTGGAAATTATAGCTTAAATTTAATTTAAAAAAATAGCTTAAATTTGGTCAAAGTGGCCTCAAAAAAGGTCTTAAAAAGTCTTAAATTTGGCTCCCTTATACCTGCAGATACCCTGGTTATAGAAAGTGTTCCTGCTCCAGAACATTCTAGAATGTGTCCTAAATGTGCAGGTGTGTTGCAACGGGACCAGAGTGTTTGTGCAGAAGGACATCATGCCACAGTTCCTGGAGGAAGTGGTGAAGAGGACCAAGGCTATCCTGGTGGGCGACCCCCTGCTCGACAGCACCAGAATGGGAGCACTGATCAATAAGCCCCACCTGGAGAAGGTGCTGGGGTTCGTCAGTCAGGCCAAGCTGCAGGTGTGTTGAATATCCGTGAGCTGGGAGACCAGAATGATTTAAGTTTATTATTAATAATAAAACTTCTGCTTTTTCAGGGAGCCAGAGTTCTTTGTGGAGGAGAACGGTTTGTTCCCAGCGACCCTAAACTGGTGAACGGGTACTTCATGTCCCCATGCGTACTGGGTATGTCTAATAGTTCCTCGTACTTGCTCCAGCCCTCACACCTGTGTGAATCACACCTGTCCTGTTTACAGATAACTGCAGAGATGACATGACCTGTGTGAAGGAGGAGATCTTTGGCCCAGTCATGTCCGTCCTGCCTTTTGACACGGAAGAGGAAGTGGTCCAGAGAGCCAATAACACCACATTTGGATTGGCCTCAGGCGTCTTCACCAGGTGAGCTTAGGAAGTCCTGACCCCACTGGGTGGTCCCTGCTCACTCAAACCCTTCTGATGCTTTTCCTTTAATGATAAGGACTTTATTGCTTTGTGCTGAACTTCTTAACCACCGTCATAAAACATTTTCAGGTTTTGTTGAGCAATAGATTTGATGTCAGCAAATTGTTAACCTTCATCACGTTTGCGTCCTTTCTGCCTACAGGGATATATCTCGAGCTCACCGTGTGGCGGAGAACCTGGAAGCAGGGACTTGCTTCATTAACAACTACAACATCAGCCCTGTAGAAGTGCCATTTGGAGGGTACAAGATGTCCGGTAGGTTGTGTGTCTGAAGGACCTTTCTGTTGGCACTGAAGCAAACGTCTGAAGCTCTGTCCTAATCTGGCAGGTTTTGGCAGAGAAAACGGCCAGGTGACCATCGAATACTACTCCCAGCTGAAGACGGTGGTTGTGGAAATGGGCGACGTGGACAACTACTTTTAAACTCCACAATCATTTATACAATACACGAGAGCTGTGAATAACACTTTATTTTTACCCTCACTGCGGAGTACAGAATGCACTTTGTTCACACACCACACTAACTAGCTCCGGACACATCCTGAACCTCCTGTGAGCAACATGAGACGCACATGGATGTTAAATGAAAGCTGTGCTATTGCAAACACCAAGAGCCTTAATCTGAAAATCTGATTACAGTTGGGTCAGTACTAGGACATGTTTAATTTTTCTAAAGTTTGCTTTTGTAATTGCCTTTTTCTTCCTTGCAAGTAAAATGAAGTCTTTTGACAATGTTTATCCTCTTTGCTGCCTCTAAAACACACTGCATGGATATGTAGAACGAATAGTTTTAGATCAGTGCCGTCACATACACCTGCATTTTTCACCTTGATTAACTCGTGGCGTCGGGTTTAATAACAGTTCTGTCATTATTACAGTTTTATTGGAGCACTGGTCATTCTTACCAAGTGTTTAATAAATTTCAGGAGTCGATCACAAAAATGTTACTGCCTTTTTTTTTTTTTTTTGGTATTTTTATGAACGGGGTCTGACTGCTGTCAATTGGGCCATTCCCATCTGTTCCGGGTCGGCCCGGGCCGGGTAGCCCCAGTCGGCCCCAGCCTGGCCCGGTTGATTCCACACATCCTTGTCTTAAGCCCATGTGGGCTGATTCTACCCACCAATCAGATGCTTGCTCTAATGGAAGGTGTGAATTTGCTGTCAGCAGTGGGTGTGTTGGCCCTGGTCGGCCTGAAGCAGACCCCCTCGAGAAGAGGGCTGAGAATGAGCCTTGCTTGGCCCGGAAAAATACCAGGCCACCCAGATATGTAAACAACCTACGCTACCCGGCCCGGGCCGACCCGGTACAGATGGGAACGGCCTATGTTATCTACATCTACAGGGCTGCTGTTGCAGTTGGCTATTTTAAAATATTTGATCACTGGAAATTTTCACTTGTTAATGAGTTGCAAATCAATTTTTAAATAATTTTGAAAATATTAAGAACTTTAAAAGACTAAATGAAGAGAATCTTTTTATGGCAGAAACTATTATGTCTGATCTTTATTTAGCCTGTAAACAATGAGAAATGATCCAGAAGCAACAGGCTGACTTCTGAATCGGGGATGGTTTGAACATAACTTTGTACAGGTGCTTCTCAAAAAATTAGCATATTGTGATTAAGTTCATTATTTTCTGTAATGTACACATAAACATTAGACTTTCATATTAGATGAAGTAGTTCAAGCATTTTATTGTTTCTAATATTGATGATTAAGGCATACAGCTCATGAAAACCCAGAATTCCTATCTAAAAAAATTTGCATATCATGAAAAGGTTCTCTCTAAACAAGCTATTAACCTAATCATCCGAATCAACTGATAACTCTAAACACCTGCAAAATATTCCTGAGGCTTTTAAAAACTCCCAGCCTGGTTCATTACTCAAAACCGTAATCATGGGTAAGACTGCCGACCTGACTGCTGTCCAGAAGGCCATCATTGACACCCTCAAGCAAGAGGGTAAGACACAGAAAGAAATTTCCGAACGAATAGGCTGTTCCTAGAGTGCTGTATCAAGGCACCTCAGTGGGTAGTCTATGGGAAGGAAAAAGTGTGGCAGAAAATGCTGCACAAGAAGAGGTGACCGGACCCTGAAGTAGATTGTGGAGAAGGACCGATTCCAGACCTTGGGGGACCTGCAGAAGCAGTGGACTGAGTCTGGAGTAGAAACATCCAGAGCCACCGTGTACAGGCGTGTGCAGGAAATGGGCTACAGGTGCCGCATTCCCCAGGTTAAGCCACCAGAAACAGCGGCAGAAGCGCCTGACCTGGGCTACAGAGAAGCAGCACTGGACTGTTGCTCAGTGGTCCAAAGTACTTTTTTCGGATGAAAGCAAATTTTGCATGTCATTCAGAAATCAAGGTGCCAGAGTCTGGAGGAAGACTGGGCAGAGGGAAATGCCAAAATGCCTGAAGTCCAGTGTCAAGTACCCACAGTCAGTGATGGTCTGGGGTGCCATGTCAGCTGCTGGTGTTGGTCCACTGTGTTTTATCAAGGGCAGGGTCAATGCAGCTAGCTATCAGGAGATTTTGAAGCACTTCATGCTTCCATCTGCTGAAAAGCTTTATGGAGATGAAGATTTCATTTTTCAGCACGACCTGGCACCTTCTCACAGTGCCAGCACCACTGGTAAAAGGTTTACTGACCATGGTATTACTGTGCTCAATTGGCCTGCCAACTCTCCTGACCTGAACCCCGTAGAGAATCTGTGGGATATTGTGAAGAGAAAGTTGAGAGACGCAAGACCCAACACTCTGGATGAGCTTAAGGCCGCTATCGAAGCATCCTGGGCCTCCATAACACCTCAGCAGTGCCACAGGCTGATTGCCTCCATGCCACGCCGCATTGAAGCAGTCATTTCTGCTAAAGGATTCCCGACCAAGTGTTGAGTGCATAACTGAACATAATTATTAGAAGGTTGACCTTTTTTGTATTAAAAACACTTTTCTTTTATTGGTCGGATGAAATAAGCTAATTTTTAAGATAGGAACTTTGGGTTTTCATGAGCTGTATGCCAAAATCATCAATATTAGAAACAATAAAAGGCTTGAACTACTTCAGTTGTGTGTTATGAATCTAATATATATGAAAGTCTAATGTTTATCAGTACATTACAGAAAATGATGAACTTTATCACAATATGCTATTTTTTTTAGAAGGACCTGTATATGTGGTCAGTTTATTTATTTTGAGTTGGATGTCTTGTGGTCACATGATAAATTATATTTAAAATCGGGTATTAAGTCTCATCTGTCACTGATGTGATCTTCAAACTAGAGTCCTCAGTTTGTCCTGCTGCTGATGTCTTCCCAGAGATCTGGAAGTCTGATGACTCATGTATTCATAAAAAAGAACATATCCATAGAAATTTAGAGTACTTTACACAGCCAAAAGTGACGACCACAGCAACACTAAAATCAAATAACCAACATAAAAAATAATAAAAGCAGAAAAAATGAATGGATTTAAGAGCTCAATAAGACCAAAGTAAGAGGTTGTTGGATCCCTAAGGTTTAAAAGCGACACGCTCACAGGCCCGCCCGCAGCGTCCCACCCCCAAGCCAGCCGAGCCCGGAACCCAGCGACCCGGGACCCAGGGGCGACAAGCCCTGCCGGGGACCCAGCAGAGCCCAGGGACTCAGATCCCCCCAGGCAGCCACCGGGATTAATCAGACAGATGCCAAAAAACGTAAATCCCCTGACCCGGGAGCCACGAACACTCAGCAGACCAAGGCACCACACTCCACACCAAATGTGACAGGGGCAGGGTAGGCGAAGATGTGTAGCAGCCAGGCCCGGAGTGGCTAATTGGGAGGGTCTGGAGAATTCCCGGTGGGCCGCGCGATGTTTGGGCCGCATGGGCCGGTGCTCTCGTTTTTGCTTTTTATCATTTTATTTTTATTTTTTGGTGCCGGTGTTCAGTCATGGCACTGAGGCCGCCGGGCTGATCACATACGCTCCTCCCGGCTGTCTCTACCTGCAGGCTGCAGCTCGTTTTTTTTTCTTTTTCCCCTGTATGCGCCTGTGCGCACCACGTGACCACGCAGTTGACGGAAAGATGGAAAGTAGAAAGAGCAAGGGTGGCGCGGAGAAGGCAAGAATTAAAAAGAGGAAAGCGCTGGAAACAGATGCAGCTAAATGTGCAAAAATGAGCTCCTTTTTTTCTCAAACAAGCTCGCGGTCTTTAACTTCAAATGAAGATAAAACGGGTAAGGCAAGTCAAAATGTTAAACTTTACCGGCTGCAAATCACCATTCAAGTTAATTAAGCATCAATAATGAATTATATGGCGTCATGACATAACGTTATGTAATATAGTTAACAGTATGATGTGACTGATGCCACCAAACTGTCTTGTAGCCCACAAGATCCAGTAGGCCTAATAAGCACCAGGCAGAAACCCACCATTCCAGAGCGGGCATGTACAGGTAGGATTACTTATTGAGTCAGTGAACTGAATATTATTAAAATTTATATGATGAAAACTATCCTGGCTCTATATGAAAGTGTCCTAAAATGCTAGATGATTCAGCATTGATCAGAAAACGTGTAAAAAAGGAAAATGAATGCTGAATTGTGACCATTTTCACACAATGTAGTGTCAGAAGAAGAGCCAGGAGCCAGCAGTGAGGGTATTGCTCCTGTTGGGATAGAAGGTGAGCCAACTCATGTGCAAACATCAGTTTCATTATAATAATTTTAATGTCCAAATAATAGTAGTGACCTGATGTATTTTTATTAGTAAATGCACAAAGCCCACAACAGATCGCTATTAGAATGAAAGTAAAATTAAATAAGCCTGCATATTTTGCCATAGAAAATATTTTAATTGGTTCCAAAAAATGTGTTTTCCATATCAAATGTGCTAAAGCTTTACAGATGATTATTTTAATTGTGTGCAGGTGAGTATAGGAAAACTGGAAAAAGTGTGAAAGGGAGTGCTGAGTCATTTCATTTTAAAGGTTTGAAAATCTCAGAACAGCTGTTTGAACAGAATGTAGATTGTTATATTGTCAGAGAATGTGTTGTAAAGAACAATGTTGGAGATGTGCACTGATGTTCAAATAAACCTACATTGTAAAGCAACTCTTTCTTGCACTGAATTACAAGGCTTTACCGAGTAGTGTGCTTTTGTAGACTATACATAGAAAGTTCTAACATGATTTTAATAATAATTCATTAAGTGGGCCGGTCTGGGGTCTGAAACTCCAGGGCTGAAAATGTGTCCCACTCCGGCCCTGGTAGCAGCACAAGTCCGAGGAGAGGGGAGGAGTCCAAGACCCCACCTGACATATACAGCCATACACAGACACAGTCACACACTCCCTCCTTCTTGCTCCCACATACACACACAACCTAAGACTTACAAAAATGAATGCTAGACACCCACTCACGCTCCCCACACACACCCTATTCACTCTGGTCCCGGTACTGCTGCACAAAGCGTACAACCATCACCGGTTCCCAGAATTAGCCCCTTTCTGCTGGGGTGATGATGAGCAGGCTCCCCCGCTCAATGCTGAGCACAGCAACCCACCACCCTAGACCCATACCAGATGGCCAGCTCCCCCTCCTAGCCTCCAGCCCAGGGAAGTCAAGCGACAACAGAGGTGTGCTAAGACCCCTAGTCTCCCTCCGCCTGCTCCAATACAGTGGTAGTGCGTGTTGATGAGGTGTGTTCCATGGCTGGGGTGAGTGGGCAGTGCAGGCATCATCTGGCCTTATCCGGGTCCGGGTCGCGGGGGCAGCATCCCAACTAGGGAGCTCCAGACCGTCCTCTCCCCGGCCACCTCCACCAGCTCCTCCGGCAGGACCCCAAGGCATTTCCGGACCATATTGGAGATCTACCCTCTCCAACGTGTCCTGGGTCGACCGGGGGTCATCCTGCTGGCAGGACATGCCCGAAACACCTCCCCAGGGAGGCGTCCAGGAGGCATCCTGACCAGATGCCCAAACCACCTCAATTGACTCCTTTCGATCCGGAGGAGCAGCGGTTCTACTCCGAGTCCCTCCCGAATGTCCGAGCTCCTCACCCTATCTCTAAGGCTGAGCCCGGCCACCCTACGGAGGAAACTCATTTAGGCCGCTTTTATTCGCGATCTCATTCTTTCGGTCATTACCCAAAGCTCATGACCATAGGTGAGGATTGGGACGTAGATCGACCGGTAAATCGAGAGCCTGGCTTTCTGGCTCAGCTCCCTCTTCACCACGACAGATCAGCTCAGCGTCCGCATCACTGCAGACGCCGAACCAATCCGCCTGTCGATCTCCCGATCCTCCTACCCTCACTCGTGAACAAGACCCCGAGATACTTAAACTCCTCCACTTGAGGTAGGACCTCTCTCCCGACCCGGAGTTGGCAAGCCACCCTTTCCCGGGCGAGAACCATGGTCTCAGATTTGGAGGTGCTGATCCTCATCCCAGCCGCTTCACACTCGGCCGCGAACCTACCCAGCAAGAGCTGAAGGTCAGAGCTGGATGAAGCTAGGAGGACCACATCATCCGCAAAAAGCAGAGACGAGATTCTCCTGCCACCAAACTCGACACACTCCACACCACGGCTGCACCTAGAAATTCTGTCCATAAAGGTAATGAACAGAACCGGTGACAAAGGGCAGCCCTGGCGGAGTCCAACCCTCACCGGGAACCGGTCCGACTTACTACCGGCTATGTGGACCAAACTCACGCTCCTCTGGTAAAGGGACTGATTGGCCCTTAACAGAAAGCCACCCACCCCATACTCCTGGAGCGTCCCCCACAGGGTGCTCCTGGGGACACGGTCATAAGCCTTCTCCAAATCCACAAAACACATGTGGATTGGTTGGGCAAACTCCCTCTAAACATCGAAACGTAATACATTTAATCTTTTTTGAGAATTTAATTAATGTAATCATTGAGAAATTAATAAATGAATGAAGTAATTCATTTTTGAGAAATAAATTGTTGGGTAATTTTTATATTACTCCCATATTACCTCAAAGAAAGTCAAAGCACACACAGAGGGAATAGATTAATAATTTGGTAAATTGTAATCCTGCCAACAACAAACAACAACAAATACTTTGCAAAGGCAAGAATGCATTTGCAAAGGGTGAGAGAATCACTACACACCAGACAAAAGGCATTTTGCACTCACAATCAGGCAAAGCCTTAGAGCTTCTTTTATTTAGGAAGGCACACCCAGAAGTTACAGATCAACCCCCACACACAGTTCTTTAGAACCAGCTGACCGGGGTAACCTAATCAACAGATTGTTGGACCTTCATCTTGTCTCAGGAAGTTACAGATAACAGGAGGGTGATCAAAGAGGTCATTCTTCACCACTCTAAAATGTGATAAAATTGATGACCTTCTGTTTAAACAAACACCTACACTGTTACATCAATAACCCTGTGATGTCAAAATCAGTTATATCCATCATGAATGAATACATTCATAAATTAATTAATTAACGATTAATTATTAATTAATTAATTAATATAAATATATATATACTCAAAATAACAATTTGTTCTTGTTAATATTTATAATAACAGAAATACATATATTAGAATATATAATATAAATTAATATATTTATAAATAAATAAATTGACAAATCAATTAATTATTACATTGAATGAATGAATACATAGATAAATTAATTAATTATGGATTAATTATTAATTAATTGCTATAAATAAATATATTCAAAATAATTATTTATTCTTGTTATTATTTATAAGAACATAAATATATATATTAGAATATATAATATAAATTAATATATTTATAAATAAATAAAATGACAAATCAATTAATTATTACATTGAATGAATGAATGCATAGATAAATTAATTAATTATTGATTAATTATTAATTAATTGCTATAAATAAATATATTCAAAATAATTATTTATTCTTGTTATTATTTATAAGAACATAAATATATATATATATAAAATATAATATATGATATATATGAATATATTTTTAAACAAATTAATTGATAAATCAATTAATTATTACATTGATAAATGAATGACTGAATGAATTAATACATTGATTAATTCATCACCTCACACCTTGACTACTGTAACTGTCTTATTTGGTGTAAGTCAGAGTACTGTAGCTCGCTTACAGCTTGTTCAAAATGCTGCAGTGAGATTTTTGGAAGGCAAGAGAAAGTATGAACACACGACTCCAATTCTGGCTGCTCTGCACTGCTACCTGTCAATTTTAGAATTAATTGTTTAATGGGTTGGCCCCTGCCTATTACAGCCACATGTTCCTGGTCTGGCACTCCTTTCTGTGAACCAGTTTCTGCTCTCGGTTTCCAGAGTTCAGCTGAGGACAAGAGGGGATAGGGCGTTCTCGGTAGCGGGCCCGAGACTATGGAATGCCCTTCCCTTAACCACTAGGCTCTCTCTCCCCATGAGTACAGGTTTGTAAAATACTACTTTTATGATCTGGCTTTTAACTCTGTGGGTTAGCTGTTGCTGATATTTTTACATGCTCTTATACTGTTATGTGTATATTGTTTTTTAGTTGTCCCTGCTGGTTTTATCTGTTTTATTTTGATTGTATAGCACTTTGGTGGCATGGTTCATGCGGAGCTGAGGTGGAACATATTTTGGGGACTCATATTTTTGTAACACCGGAAGTGATAAGAACGGTCCATCAGAGGCATCGGCTAAGATCAGCAATGCAGGTAATCTTTGATAATAGGAAAATAAAGTAAAACAAATGTAGGCGACATTGTTGTAGTTTATTATGTTCACTGGTATATCAAATATATTTGCTCTTTAAAGATAATTTAACTAGCCTTCATTTGCGAAGCTATGTAGCACGTAGCTTTTCCCTGCTAACATATTTGTTGTCTCGTTTGTTTGTCAGTCATCAAAATGAAATAAAATGATCGTTCTTCACGTGTCTTTCAGCAAAGGGAAGAAAAGCAGTTGGAAGCCTCTTTGGACACGCTGATCTCTCTGGTGGCTCACGTTAAAAACGCTCTGCAGAGTTTTATTGCCAAGTTAGAAAATGAATATGAGCGTTTGACCTGGTAAATTATTATTATTATTAAAATAGAAACGTACTATCTTATCGGTAAAGAAATGCAGCATTAGATGGGTGGCCGGTGATGCCTGTGCTTGGCAGCCTCAGCTCTGTCAGTGTGCCACAGGGCAGCTGTGGCTATATTATAGCTCATCACCACCAGGGTGTGAATGTGTGTGTGAATGGATAAATAATACACTTTGGAATCCCCTGACTCTGAAAGGCGCTATAGTGTGGGTCATTTTCATTTGATATTGCTGTGGTTGGTCTAAAATTCTAGGCTAGTGAAATAGTGCTGCCTGATCACGAAAACAATCATGATTATTTTTGTTTCCTGTTGGTCACCCTTTAGTGCTAACTAAGGATGAAATAAAAATTGTAAATTAGGTTAATTGCACAGTCCTTAGTGAAATAACCTTAGTTTAAAATATTTTAGTCCAGATGCGGATCTTTTGATTGAAATTTCCTCTCAGACGCTACTTTGTGTTCTGCTTTGACTCAGGCCATCTGTTTTGGATAACTTTGCACTCCTCTCTGGTCAACTGAATACCATCAACAGACTGCTCAAGAATGAGAAGACGCCATCTTTTCGCAGCCAGGTTATTATTCCGTTGGTCTTATCTCAAGAAAGAGATGATGACTTAGCGGTGAGTAGCAGCATCTCAGTCTCATCTACTTATTTTTGAGTTAAGCTCACTAATAGCTTCTCACTGCCTCTCAGAAACTCACAGACAAGCGTGTGCCGGTGTTCAGCCATGAGATTGTTCCAGACTACTTGAGGACCAAGCCTGATCCAGAGGTGGAGGAGCAGGAAAAACAGCTGAGTGCAGAGGCAGCACGGATAGGTCCTGATGCAGCACAGGTTGTGTGGAATAATATTTTGTGTCCTGTTAGTTGTCTGATTTGATAGCTTTCATCCGGCTCTGCTTTGTTTAACTTCATTTGTCTGCATGAACAGAAACAGATCCAGACTTTGAATAAGATGTGCTCCAATCTGCTGGAGAAGCTAAACAACCCACGGGAAGACCGAGATGCAGAAAGCGCAGGTGTGTTCAGGTTTTGCTGCACATTTTTTTACCATTAGAAAAAGTTGTTTAAAAGTTAAAGTCCCATTAGTCGTCACACACTAGTGATATTTTTTCTCCGCATTCGACCCATACGCTGGGGAAGCGGTGAGCTGCAGACATGGCCGTGCTCACGAACCATTTGGTGGTTTAACCTAGGGCTGCTCAATTAATCGAAGTTTAATCCCAATTACGATCTGAGTTTTGAACGATTATTAAAACAAAACAAGCCAATTATTTGCTCCTCCCACTTACGCTGTCCTGAGTTGCAAATGAAGCGCTCCTCCTTGATGCTATTTCTAGCAGCTTCTCAGACCCCCTTCTTGACTTTTTAAATCTTAAAAGTACCTAGCAAACACCTCAGAAACATCTCTGGAAACCCTTAGCTACTTTCTGGATAACTGTCGTGGACATTTCCTGCAGGTTAGCTAAACACTCCGCCTGCACTCCGGACCGTTCTTCAGGACATTAGGAAAGGGAATGATGTAGTGATGTGTCAGTCGCTAAGGAAACGGCTCACAGAGCCGACTCCCTGTTAGAGTAACCAGAGTGAGTGACACACACACCGCACCTGCGGAGTCCTGAGCCTCTAAAAACAGCTAAATGTGCGCATGCGGCGTGCTAAACACACGTGCAGCTTGCCCCCGATTGCTGTGAGACCGGGTTGGGGGGTGCAGCTTTGGTTGGGACAATTATTACATTAACTGATGGACCTGTAAATAAATAGTTTATAAATAAGGTAGAAATAAGTTCCTCACGCTGATAAATAATAACTAATCTCTCTGAGGACACGGTGCTAGTGCACTCTCCTACAGCACCTTGACACGACTCAATAAATGTTATGCAACATTTTGTGAACATCAATTTATTTGCGTTTATTTGTTATAAATGCCACTGTATAATTCTTGCTGTCAGTATTTGCAAGATATTGGTATTTGGGTCTGTACTGGTTAGACTTAAATGAGTTAAACCAAGGTCTATAGCCCTTGGGTCATAGACTATGAGCTATAAGTATATTGGTCTTTTTATACTGGGAATCAGGAGTTATTTTAGTGATCATCTTGTTTCTCATTTATTTTTGTCCTGATTGTGCCCTGAGCAATTTTATGACAGAATAAAATCAACATAAATTGAAAAATCGTCTTAAATAATCGAGATCTCAATTTCAGTCACAATAATTGTGATCATTATTTTTGCCATAATCGAGCAGCCCTAGTTTAACCCCCCTAATCCAACTCCTTAATGCTGAGTGTCAAGTGGGGAGGCATTAGGTCCCATTTTTAAATTCTTTGGTATGACCCGACCGTGGCTCTAAACGCCGATCTCCCAGTCTCAGGACGGACATTCATACCACTAGCCACTGAGCATATTTTGATGGTTTCATTTTCTTGTTCCAGCATCTCGACAGAACAAAGCCTCTTTCAACCCCAGTGACACCAATGCATTAGTTGCAGCTGTTGCATTTGGAAAAGGACTTTCAAAGTGTAGGCCTCCTGGTCCCGTGGCCCCAGGAATCCCTGGTCAGGGCCCAATGATGAGTGGGGGTCCAACCCTACAGCAGGTCACCATCGGAGGTGCTGCAGGTCAGCAAGCAGGTATGGGAGGACCTGTGGCTCCACAGCAGCTAGGACAGCCAGGTAGGTGACCTGGTTTAGTGTTTTCCCCTCCATCACAGTAAACTGTAGCAGCCATCACAGGAAAAACAACGTTACAGTTCAGTGACACAAATATAATCCAACTTTAAAGGTCATTTTTTCTTATTGGAGAGACCTAATATTAAACAAATTGTCACAAAAACATTACAAGTTACTAATTCCTCTTCAGCCAGCCAGGGGGCAAGAGTGGTTTTTTATATAGTGCTAGAAGAGGGCCCTGCCACAGGCTCCATACATGCTAGCACTGCTAGAAAAATTATATCAAGTTACTCTCAAGTTCAAATAGTATTTTCTCTTGAAATTAGGGATGCACCGATACGATACTGGTATCGGTATCGGTGCCGATACAGATACTGATACCAGTATCGTATCGGTAAAAGTTAACAGATACCAGTAACTGATACCAATGCAGTTGCTTGAAAGTGACTTCACTGTAACCTGTCATTTCTGTTCACCTAATATTTTAGTTTTGTGATCACTTATACTACTTTTTACCTACCTCACAGTCTTTTCCTATTGAAAACAGAAGAAAATAAAACCTGTATTCCAATTCATTGCATTTTTTTGTGTGGTAGAAGTATCTGTATCGGTAATCGGTATCGGCGAGTACTCAGATACAAGTATCGGTATCGTATCGGTTTGGTAAAAAGTGGTATCGTTGCATCCCTACTTGAAATGCCCTTCCCTAGTGGGAAGGCAGTCTAGAGCTCAGTCACCATGGACACCAGGGATGTGTATTGTTGAAATTCTGGCGATACGATACATATCACGATACAGGGGGGACGATACGATATATCACGATATATTGCCATATCGATATTTTCTTACATCCCTAATGGACACCACTGGTAGGACATTACGCCAAACTAGATTTAAATCCTGCTGCACACAGAAAGTTCCCTTGGTCCAGAAGGCTGTTTAGGTCTGTCTGAATTTACTCGTGAAAAGTTCAAACGATTCTGAGAAAGCTCAGAGAACGGTAAGAAAACATCTCTGTTCCCAACTTGACTCACTGTATACAGAAGAAGAGCGGAGCTTAGAGAGTTATTCTTTCTGCCATTAGAAAAACAAACTACGATGAAGAATTAGTGACCGTTCCATGTCTAAATCCAACTCATCTCTACGGCGTATTTAGAAAACATACAAATTAAAACTAAAGTGCTGCACAATGGTAGCAACCATGTCTCTGTAATTAAGCAAACTCGCACAGTCGGCACGAATAAAGTATGATTTCCATCACTGATGTCCTGATGTTTAATGGTCATCTTCACTAAAAAAACACATATTAATGATTATTTTTGATTATAATTGGTCACTTTGAGTTTTTCATGCAGGCCGAGCATTAAAATATTCTACACCCATCAGGAGATAGATGGATATTGTGGAGATAAAACATCAACATTGCAGAGCAAACAGAGTCAGTGCTAGAGTTGCGTTAGCCAGTCAGAAGCAAGATGTCTAAATATCAGTGAAAAAAAGTCCAAATCCTGTCGTCTGAAGCTCAACTCTGATCTGGCTCACTTCTAGTTCTGGAACTTGGTGCACTGGAGCTTTTTTTCCACGGAGTACGACTTACAAAGCATTCATTTCTACTAGACACCACTGCAAATCTGATAAAAATATGAGCAAATTTGAACTTTAAACCAGTTATAAAATAGACTCATGCCCTTTCAGTCTGGAGAAAAGAAACTGTTAAGAATATAATTGTAGTACAACTTTTAAGAACTGATGTAATTTAAATAAAGCAGTACAGATGAAGTTGTTGTCTTTTTTTTCACAGGAAAAATTCCCAGCAGCATCAAAACCAACATTAAATCTGCATCTGGTTCGATACATCCGTACAACCGATGAGCTGTCTTCTGCTCACCCAGTCTGTGTTGACGACATGCCAGAGGTGGCAGCAGTTTTTCTGCTGTAAGGGTTGAACCAGCATGGACTGCAACATGAGGACACAGATATATGTTTTGTCTTTTTTTCCACGTCGTCACAGTAAAAGGTTTTCATTTTTGCGAGTTACTTTTGGGTCTCATGGTTTT